AAAATGGTGCGTCAAATGACGATTTTAACGGAATTTGGTAATTTGCATATTTCTTTGAAATAAAAGGATATTTTGCCAAAAAAACTATCCAGTAGTTTTTGTCATGCCCTAGCGTATCTACCATAAAAATATGAGCGAAATCGAATTATCGATCCTTGCCGAGTTATTTTCCATTTTTATGGACAGAGACTCTTAAATACTTTTCGTGAATATTCAGTGTGATCTCCAGTCAGAAACGTGGCTCAACTTCAATGCCTGCCTGTTAACAAACATGCGACGTCAGTACTGTACAGCCTTTCCTGTCTGCTAATTATTGATTGGTCAATTCAAATTTCAGACGCACTGGCTGTATGAAAGGTAAGTAAATTACACTAGGCACTGGGAAGTTAATGTAAGCTTTTGAGAAAAACTGTGATTTACTTTTTTCCTCAATACCCTTATTAGCTTCCTACTAATATGAGAACTATTCCGTATCTGTGGACAAAACGAAAGAACTGTTATACACATACGCCTAAAGAGCCAGGAAATTGCCGGAAACGACCAACTGGGACGTTTAAACCAATATCACTGTTTCAACCTATTTATATACAGAGAAGGTAAAACTGAACAAAAGACTAGGGTCTAAATGATATAAACAATTACTTATTGAAACAAGATGTTTATGAGGACCAGCTATAAAACTACAATTGGCCTTACCTATGAGCCAAAATATCTTTTAAACCTGTGGTCTTCAGCTCTGTGAACAGGTTAGGGATTTGCTCCACTCTTGCAGAAAGAATCTCCAGACAATAAGTTTTGAAATCACCATGAACAGAGGGCAACATGAATAATATCTGTCTCACAAATCTGAAGTGAATACAAAGATTGAGAGAAGATCAAGGTCAATATGTTCTCTTGGCATTAAGGAATACAACTATGTCTTTATCCAATTAGAAATGTAATTTGCCAAAATAGGCATCAACATAAATTAAAATGTTGTCTACACGGTGTACAGATCTGGCGCGAACGATAATGGTGAGTGCATCTTCAAAAAGAGAAGGTTGAGAATTTTTTGATATTCTACGGTTAGCATTCTCACTATTGTTATTTATTGATTTTCCTTCGCAATTGTCATTTTAACAATAACCTCAATACCTCAAAGGCAGCTATTTTTTTCCCAATGGAGGTTTTGTTTTTTGAGGTTTATGCGTCCGACTGTGGTGAACGTAAGATACCGAAGCATCTTGATCCATTTTTCTGTAATCGTATTGATGTGCCCGTTAAAAAAAGGCTGGCTGACCAACTCGTCAGTGCCCCATAGCTTTTGAGTGTCTTTGAAATCCGAAAAAAACAAAACAAAACCATAGAGGCTGGAAAAAGTAAACGCATCCATTAAGAAGTCTTGGCTGCCTTTAACGGGCAAACAGAGAACAGGAGTGTAATACACACCATTCATCACTGCTTAAAACAATTAGCGCTACAGGAAAGATAATATATGACGATGAAAAATTGGCAAGGCCAGAGATTTGGGGTTCTAGAGGCCTAAACTGCAAGGGTTAGGCCTGGCACACACTGCTGAAGTTTTTCCTGGTTTCCGGGATAAGCATGGAAATGGTATACGTATCTCCCACCATTATGCCCGGTGTTCCTTACAGGTGACCATAACAAACCTGGCTGGAGAGAAGTACAGTGCGAGTAAAATGTCTCGCCCAAGGCAATGACTCTGGAAGCTTTCCACTCTTTCTCATTCGATCCAGAGTACTGCACGATGATCAGATTTTTTGGGGTGACTGTTTTAGGCAACTGTACCTCCCACTAAAAATCACTCAGTTACAGTAAAATCCCTGTCACTGCAATATGCGTGTGTGCTGTGCAAGTAAAGTGCATGCATCCAGGATGTGTATATGTATTACTATGTTCATTTACCTGTCAACAATGGGAGGATAGTTGAGCTGCAGTTTGTGCACGCAAGTTATAAACTTGCCTGGCTCTGGTTTTGCTGAGTTTACTAAAGCCACAAGCTTCTGACTGACTATGTCGTGCAGAGGACCTTCCACGACCTAAAATTCAAGTAATCAACAACGCTCCTAAGTAAGCGTTTTACTTCAGCAGGCAAAAAGTCTAAAGTCAAGGCTTGTTTCATTGCCCTGAATGCGTTTTGTAACAGGACAAAGAGGAGTTGACTTTTTATCTGTTTAATGGTATAACAGCGTGTATAATTTTTTCCCATGCCACCCACAAATTAAAAGGATGGGTGACGTACTCTTTTCGCAAATTTCCTTTTGTTATGGGCTGCGATTTTGAATTGGGGAAAACAGTGGGAAGTACAACGTTTTGAAGCGGAACATTTCAGATTCCAATGTGCAAGGATTTCTAGGTTCTGACAAGTTTGTGCAAACGGACACAAGTAATCATCCTTTCGCGCAATATTTTCAAAATAATGTTCAGACATGACCAAACACAGATCATGCACTACCAGCTTTTTAATGGGGGACACTTAAGCGTGAACAAAGTCACGTTTCCTTCGACAGAGAAATTAATTCAATTGGTAATGTTGTAAAACAATTGATTTATGCTTCAAGCTGTGCATCATAGAGTTACAACACACTTGCGCTTCTTTTGCGCTCTCTAAACATCCTGCGTAAATTATAACTTGATAATGAAGCCTAAAACATGAAGTAATGGCTTATTCTCTCTATGAGACGCGCCTGCAGGGAATCATGGTAGTTATATTCATCAAAGTAAACATCCAGTCCAAGATGATGAATACAAATATTATGATTCCCCGCAGGCGCATCTCATAGAGGGAATTTCTATTGTTAACTCATCATCAGTTCCGTTTCTCTGTATGGAGAGTGGGGCCTGAAATTTACTTCTCCAACACACTCTGTGAGCTGCCACCAGCCCAGCCTCTACCCAAGAATAGTAACCCATTGCCATTCGCTCTTTCACCACCGTCCTACGCCATGTTTCTCTGGGTCTTCCTCTCTTGCGTTTTCCTTCCGTTGCCCACGCCAGTGCGGCCATTGTTAACCATACTGAGGTGTATGTATAGCGTTCTCTAAAAACTAATTTCCACATTTTGTGAAGGCGCAATCATATCTCAAATATTTCATATATGCATCTATGCATCTTCGAGTATGGTAACAAGAAACTGGATTGCAAAATACGCTATACCTTCTGTACTTCTGCCAACTGCTTCATTAACAAACCAATCACTTCAGCTGCAGCAGCATGAACGTCTTTGTACTTGAAAGTCATATTATTGACAAGACTGCTGTAAAACCTAGGAATTAAAAGGATATCTGAAACAGCATTGTTCAAAGTCTGTATCGCGATATATGGACCAAGTGGTGCGTGAGGACCATATATTGATAGGAAAAAGAGAAATCGCTTCCAAAGATCAATATCTTATCATTTGGATCGAAAAAACAAAGCGAAGCAAATGCTTATCCCCCTTGATCCCGAGAAAAAATAATTCTTGTCAAGTACTAAGGAACTACACTGTACTCTAGAATACCGCTCACAAAAGTGACCAGTCACACCATGTGCACTATGCAATTAAACGAAAAAATATGGACTCCTTTTTGTCTACCTCATCCATAAATCAAGGCTTGTCCATGAAAGGAAAAGTGTAAACCTTGAATGGTAGATTTATATGGAGTACTGTTGAAAAATGCAGTGGTCCATGTCACATGTCATTGCCACAATAACAGTGATACAGTCTTAAAATAAGATAAGGTCTCAGACATTGGACATCTTACCTGTCCTCATCAATGGTGGAATCACTAGCGATGGGGGATAGGCCATTTGCAGCAATGATTCCAACCAGCTGAATACCAGCAACATTATCTTTCTTCATAGGGTCAGGATGGGCAAAGGATTCAAAGATCACCCTTGAGAATTGTAAAACAGTAAAGAACTGTTAACAAAAACCAAAGTAAAAACCTACGAAACACTGACAGCACCACAACAGCTGAAAGTAGTGGTTACATGTCTTCATTAAAATTAATGAACTGAACACTCCGCCATTATTAGTTTGAGGCAGATGTTAATAAAAGTAGTCCAACGTATGTAGATAAATCGTTGCCTTCAAGGAGGCTCAAAACAGTTTCCAACACTTAGATTTTGATAGGTGGTTTTAAGCACTGTTTATCGCTTGATTCTACAATCATGGTATCAAAAAACTACCCAATTATTGGTGGACACGTTCTTATCATTTTCGTGACACAATAGGTTGCCACAGCAACAGCATGACTTGCTAAAAATACCCTTAATTACAGTTTTATGGGCTTATAATTCAAAAACGGCACGGTGTTTTTTTATACTATTAAATTTTGATAAGCATGATAAGACGCAACTTCAAGTTTAAAAAAATTCTGCACATAGGGCTGAGAGCCACCTTAAATTTTCAAAACTTTCAGGTGGTTCTGAACCCTATGTATAGATTACGCAACAATGACCGGGCAGTTTTTATGATACCATGATTGTAGCGTTATGTGATAGAGAGTGGTTGTAATGACCCATCAAAATCTAACTGCTGGAAACTGTTTTGAGCCACCTTAAGCAAACCTTCATCACTGTTCAAAACTTCACGCTTACAAAAAATATCACTAAATTAATACCCACTGTCATATTTCAAACCCAGACCGCACAAACAAGATAGTCCAAACCAATAAAATTTACGTTATTTATTGTTAAGGGGGAGGGAGAAAAGAATTTTGAATATTAATTTTGTTTACGAATAAGAAGCGATTTTTCTAAACATTTAACTATAAAAAATTGCGATAAAATATTTCTAAGCATATTGAGAAAGTTAAAAATTTTGTTAAAAAACGACGACGTTTCGACGTTGAGCTAACGTCATTATCAAGTCAAAATGATAGTTGATAAAAATGTATAAATAGTCAGTAAAACAATTCGTTTCTCTGAAGAAGTCCGCAACTCACCCATTGGAGATGATGACATCTTGGTTTCTTTCGATGTCGCATCCCTTTTCACAAACGTACCTTTAAATGAGACTATCAACATCTTAGTCGACAAAGCATTTGCCAAAGATTGGTTGAACCAAACCTATGACCTTAACCCGCAAAAGGATCAACTTGCCAGACTCCTTGAAATCGCCACTACTAACCAGCTTTTCCAGTTTAATGGCCGGCTGTATGAGCAAGTCGACGGCGTGGCAATGGGTTCGCCCCTTGGCCCTCTAATGGCTAATGTTTTCATGTGTCACCTTGNCTACACAGCCCGACACCTCCACCAACGCATTGCTGAACATAAAAACTCGGCGATTGGAAAACACCTTTTGGAAGCCCACGGGGACATAAGCCTCCTCAAAGAAAGCCAGTTTCGAATTCTCCGAAAGTGCCAAGTGAAATTTGATTGCCTCGTCTATGAGACGCTTTGCATAAAGGAACGGAATCCAAGCTTGAACACGCAAACTGACTCCATCCGTGCTAAACTCTTTGTTTAATTTTAAACATTTTACCACATCCATTGAACTATTGTTTTACTATTTATACATTTTTATCAACTATCATTTTGACTTGATAATGACGTTAGCTCAACGTCGAAACGTCGTCGTTTTTTAACAAAATTTTTAACTTTCTCAATATGCTTAGAAATACTTTATCGCAATTTTTTATAGTTAATTTTGTTTAGGGTCATTAATTATAATCTAATCGAATAACTAACATTTGAGACTCTAGGATCGTGCTATGGACAGAAACTAAAGGCTGGAGAGATTTCACGAAGCCAGTATGTGCCCTTCTGTTCGACCCCCACCAGATTTAAATATCGATTGTTGATTTTATCTCTATTCGTATCTGCAAGTCTTTTTCTTAGTTGATTGTCTTTTTATTCAGCAAACTGATGTTACCGTGATTTTAAACATTTGTGCTGGTTCTTTCGTAAAAGCGACTTCTCAATGATGAATTTACAAGAAAAAACGATTCTTCAACCACTTCTGAACTGCTGAGACTGTCCTCCGCAGGAAAAAAAAAGAAACTTTTTGAACCAGATTTAACCCAGCAACCCGAAGACAGTAAACAAATGCCGCAGCCCTACGGTCGACTAACAGAACTGCCCTGACGTTGTACGAGTATGCGATATATTATTCCGTTATAAAATTGTCCATTAGTGAGCTATAATTTTTTCAATACAAAAAATGTTGTTTTACAGCCAGTCAAACAGGAACATTTTCCACAATACATACAGTGAAGATTTCGTCATAATTAGTCATGAATTATTTTTCTTTTAACATTTGATTTTTTTTTAACATAGGGAATAACATTTTCTTGAGAAGCATAATACTTTTTATTATATGGCTAGCTCCGCGAGCGGGCAAGATAAAACAAATCCTGCGCCGTGATTGGCTACCCGAGCGGGCAAGATGGAGCTATCTTGCCCGCTCGGGACTACCCTCCGTGTCCCGCAAGAAAAANTTGCGAGTTTATGAACCTCGACTCCGTCTCGGTCCATAAACACGCAAAAAAAGAACTTGGCCAATATCCCGCCATCTTGACCTCACACTTGGTCAATATCCCATACATCTTTGCATTTCGTTAAAATGGTTGTCACATTAATTTCTGTAAGAAAAAACAATTTTTTTACAGTCTCGACCTCAGTTAAAGCGACCACTGTTTTTTAGTGCTTTTACAGAATGTAAAATGAAAAAAAAAAAAAAAAAAGAAAGAAAGAAAAAAAAACCTGTTGTCCTAGGTTTGAATGTTTCATCATATCTACATAACAAACAGAACATTACTGATTTTATCTTCTCGTGCTCAACGTGTCGTTAGAAAACCGCGCGGTTATGTAATAATTATATTCTCTATTTATCTGATATCTTGTTGAGTTAGAAAATATATACGCAAGGACGAGGAAAGAACGAGAGATATAAGAACTGGAAACGGAACCCTAAGAACAAACTAGTTGGCTTATAATATTAACCCCCGCGTTATTAAAAATTAAGAAAACCTCGTAACATTTAGGGACGGTGTGCTGTGTTTTGACAAGAATACAGTATGTTGGCACGTACGGAACGTCCTTTTTAAGGAAAGCTTCTTTCCCTTGAAGTCGTCATCATGAATCACAAGAGTCAATTCCGAAGATCATTAATTTTTTAACTGCACATAGTATACTCCTGAAATGTGCGCAGGGCATTTTTGTCACCAACAACTCATGTACAACAGCTACAAAATGGAACATCTACAACCAATGACAAAAGTAGTTGGGAAGGTTTCTAGCACATCTCGGTATGAGATAAATATACATATTTTAATTTGACCTTAACCAACAATAAGCAAGACGTTGTTCAGTTGCTTCCCCTCTCCCCCAAACAAATGTTGAAGTTCTACCGCACGATATGGAAAGGAGGGGAGGCACCGGAGGCACCGACACCAAAAAGGACGGACGGTAAGGAGAAAAATAGACAACCTTCGCAACACGTTTGGTCACGGTTTGTAGAACGATTGTCACTTACTTTGTAGGTAGTTGGAAACTAGTCTTCCACACTTCTGTCATGGTTTTTATAATCTCTAAATTGTTTCTGAATACTGAGCGAGTCCTGTGATGAGTTCTGGACATCAGAAACTCAACAAGTCTGCTTGCTAGAAAACGACCGTCAGAGGTTTCCTTTGAAAAAAAAAATGCCTCTGTATTACGTATCAGATTATAGACCCTATTCACAAATGGCCGCCAATTTAAAATTCTTTTGTATGCATTTAAATCAGCCCAACTAACCTCAAAAACGAGGTTAGTTTGGCTAATTTTAATACTTACAAAAGATATTTTAATTAGCCGCCATTTATGAATAGGGTCTATACAGGGCCAAGACAAGCCAGTTTCAATTTTCCATTTGTACTTTGTAACTACAGTTGCATGAAAGCTCTTTACTTTGTCAGATTGAGCATCTTAACAAGACGTATTCCAGTTCCACATGACGGTGAATGACGAAGTTGAGGAATATATTTAGATGTTTAAACACCTGATGACAAAAGCACAGCCCAAACAAGAGAGACCATATATGGTAATTTTTGTATAAGTTCCCCCGAGCTTGACCACTATTTACATTAATATATGTTCAGGACTAATGTAGTATCGTTAATTAGGACATCATAGTTAGTAACTCTGATGACATGTAGGGCAAACCTACAGTGTACATTATAGTTTATATGATTTGTTTGACAAAAAATCTCATTCGTTCGAATCTGCTAACAACACCCACTTACCTGAGGTATTGCAGTGGTACTCCATGACAACATAGTGACGACAAGATCCACTATAAAGTAATTGATTCCTTCCGTGCCTGGCTGCTCTTTCTCTTTCATTTGTAGGATTAGTTCCATTAAAGGATTCAACCAGAACTTAGCATAAGGTTCAAATATCTTCCAAAAAATATCAATGAAGTGCATATTAATGATTGTCGGATTATGTAAGCACCAACTTGTGTCACGCGATACACATGTAAAGTGACTTTCCATTAGGAACAAGTCGTTGATACTGGTTAGGATCTTGTCATTGTCGCTATCTTTTTACCCTTCTTTCCTTTTGTTGCCAGTCCTTATTAGTCTGAATTTTTATGTAGTCGCTCTCTCCCGTACGGAATTCGATGTTGTTAAGTGACGAAAACTGATCAGTTGATTGGCCGGCATGATTATCAGTTTATATAAAGTTACTTTGGTGACTTTATTTGTAGTTAACCAAATAATTGATTTAGGAGTACAATCTGTATTGACATTACTGGAATGGTCTATTTGATTGAGCCAAATCTCTTGAACACGAGCTGAGGAAGAGCAAAAGACAACCCAGCAATTTGGGCAGATTTTGGTAACCACTGGATGTTTAACTAACAACTTGGTTCTCCTTTTTTTAAAACACACGCCCTCTGTAAAACTTTTCCACAATTTTTTGACATTAAAATGTTAAGTTTTCCGATGTTCATTGTTATAACAGAGGAAAATAAAACTCAGACTGAAGGCTTTTAAATTTAAGATGATAACTACCTTGGACTCATTGATAACCAGCTTAGCAATGAAGAGGCGGATGTTCATGTGAGAACTTGATGTCAGTTTCTTGTGTAATGGAGACATCCACGCAGGCATCTCGGAAGGTGATACTCCCTATAATTAGACAGAAAAGTAGCTGAGTAATTAGATTACGACTCAAGTGCAAAGAGGGTTAAGAAATGTAACTGGTAACTTCATTAATCGGTCAGTATAAAACGCAGACTGCAAACTGCAGACTACAGACTGCGGACCGGGGGCAAAATACAGACTAACGGTAAAATGCAGAATGCAGACTTTTTAACTGTATCGTTTTAACATTTCCACCATTGAGTCCTAACCGTAAACATGCTAACCGGGGCGTTATTTAGGCAACCCGTATAGTGCAGACTTTCCCTCCGATTAACCTGAATAACCCTGTTTACGGTAAGCACTCGACAATGGAAATGACACGATATATACCTAAAAAGTCTGTAGTCTGCAGACTGCATTTTACCCCTGGTCTGCAGTCTGCAGTTCGCCGTCTGCCTTTTACACAGACCGCTTCATTAACGTAACTTTACAACGAGTGTCTACGTTCACTGGAAGGCAGCTGGTGTTTGTGTTTAGCTTAAGAGAAAGCTTCTTTGGTGATATTTTCGAACAATTCTGGAGACACATTTTTTTACTGCTACCTACTCAAATCTCTTCTTGGAAATCCCACAAATTATACGTTTGTTATATTTATAGTCAGTTAATCACACAGCCGAATTACATAAGTTTCCCCCGTTTCCTCAGCAACTTCCTGGTTGTTTATAGCTAGGTACATCTCTAGCCATGGGAGGAACATAGAGGAAAAAACCAAGTTACTTCTGCTAATTAAGGTTCCAGTTTGGTGATGACGACTGTGAAAATGACTAACAATTTTACTGGTAATCCAACATGCTACCATATTTACGTCTGCAGACGAATACAACTTACAACCTAGTCAGCAAAAACAGCTGCAAAGTTTAGAATTCTCGGAAAAACACTAAATTTTCAAAACATCACACGTGGAACGGAATAAATACCTTTGGTTGCTCAGGAGAAATTTTATTTTGTACCAAGTGTTTTAACAAAGCAGACATTTTTGCCATACACTCATGCTTGTTCAACTCATCCATCTCTACTGTATCTTCAGTCACTTCATACGACTCTTCCTGTGGTAAAGGATATTACTGTAACTCTTATATTATATATGGAACATTATACAAACAGAAGTATTGTATGGCACTGCACTGTACTGTACTTTATTTGTCATAATATGTACATTAAGTAATTTAAATAGCAGGGTTGTTTTAATTTCAGCATGTAGGTTGTTACCAACAAGCCATGAACTGACGTAACTGGTGTAATAACCAAGCTATGGTACTAAGCTGGTACAGTGGTTAGCATGAAAGATGTAACGAAAAAGACCGAGCACTTACTCTACATTTCCCTAGTAACTGAAAATGGTCCGAAGCGGCTAAGATGAAATACAGTAGTTGTGAGCAGAAACATTGCATTAAGAGGTAGGGAATGTTTGTAAAGAGAAACAAACGTTAACGAGAGCAACCGCTACAGTATTCATTGCTATCATAAGTCTAGCACTCTACAATTCTACTTTACCTTCTGCTCAATACTCGAACTACTCTCACTTCGTCTATTCGAAGCTTCCGTTATCTCAGTTGCGGAATAAGCCTATTAAATTACAAACGTTTAGATAAGGACAAAAGGAAGCAAGGAGCAAAACATCTTAATATGTGGTCTTAAGCTCAGTACTTTTATAAGCCTAATTAAGTACTTGTCTAGCATATGCATTCTTTTACCACAATCTGGTGAGTAAAGGTTACAAAATAAAATAGTTTCATCACTTTCGTGTTGCACAAAATTCAGTCCACATTGGGTTGTAAAGGAGCATGTTGGACACAAAAAATGAAAATCACTCAGCGCTGAGCAAAAAGCTCAATATAGCTATAACGAACAGACATTCACACTAATCGTCAGAGAAAATAGCATTTCTTTGCAAATCATGAAGTTATATTTAAGCAATAGCACACTTTTTCTGTGTTTACATAGCCTCATCTAAACACGAGGAGGGTTCGGAGAATTCAAAACAGTTATGCAAACCCGAGACGTAGTCGAGGGTTTGCATAACTTTCGAGAATTCTCCTAACCCCCCAGTGTTTAGACGAGGCTATGTAAACACGGAAAAAGTGCTCTATTGCTTTTATAAAATAATTCTCAAAAATACGCGCGAATCTAAGATGTCACAACCGTGTTTACATACTCTCATCTAAACACACCTATCGGCCAATGAGAGCGCGCGTAGTAGCTCAGTTATTTTATAAAAGGTAATTTACCTGTATGGGTGTAGAGAAATCATACTGACTAACATCTTCACTAAGGCTACTGTCCGCAAGATACTGTGAAGCCATGTAATGAACTGAGCGACCTAACCAAGCAACATTTCAAAAGGGGTCAGTTTTCAATGTTTGAGTCATAGAAACAAACATAACATTTCAGGTTTAGGACCATTTTCTAACATTAAACGTTAACCGTTTGCCCAATGCCTTCTCTACCCATAGTGAAATGTCGTTTGCTAATAAGCATTTTTGAAATGAAGTAAAAACCCACCTACAGTTGTATGAGAAAATAGATTTTTCCAGGCTAGCCTTTAAATGTTTTTATCAGCAAATGTGGTATCTACGGAAAATTTCGGCAATTTGGGTTCCTAGACCAAATTTCAAGTTTTTTCAAGGACCCAATGGGCTGAAATCATTTTCACGAAGAGAACACGAGAGAAAACGTTTCATGCCTTAAACAAGTTTCAGCACACAATAGTTTGAAGACATCTCACAGCATCATACAATTTCCAGCTGAAGTTGATAATAACAGTAACAGGTTCTTGCTACCCCCAATTTACTCCAGCAGTAAACGGCGAGCATCAGTAATCTAAGAAATACAGTACAAAGTTCTGATACAAGAACAACACTTATCGATATACAAGGGTGGTACAGCATCCTGTTTTACAATTTTCACCTGCACTCCGATCGCATGTGTGAAATGTTTGCTTACCGGAGATAAAACCAGTAAAAAACTTAAAATGCCGGGTCATAACACTTACAACGGGTTCTGACTACAGTGATCTGACGTCGAAAATGTCCTAGGTAATTTGGAAATGTTGTCTCTTACAAGAGATGATCACTCATGACAGGCGGTCAGTTCCACTGTATTAAACGTTCCTGACCAAAGTAACGACTCAGTTAGGTGTTTCAAACAAAGGCATTTATGGCCACAAAGAAGAAGTCCCATTAGCTGATAAGACCGTGCACATAAAATTAATAAATACCTAAGTATTTACAAGAATAGCAAATTTACATGTATGAACAGCATATGTCAAGTAATAGAAAACCAACTTACCAGAGATCTCAGCCGTTCCACTCTGACCGTTTTCTTCTGAGGCATGAGAGCGAGCCTGCGTTCTTATTGTGGTCATTTGCTTTTTTCTCTCAATGGGAGCCTGATATTTAAAAGAAAATTAATTCACTACCATTAAAAGGTTTCTGAAGGACAATTAAGGTCATTCCCCAGTATTGCATTGCGCATCCCTACTGCGCATAATTTCACGCGTGATTAGCGCCCGCGCATTAAAAAATGGCGGCTTTTTCTTTACAGCTGGACCTCGCCATAGAGGTAAATCGTCATTTTCTCGCAAACGAGTATGGTGACCTATCATTTTTTCTCTGTTGTTTTGAATCGAGTAATAAATTTCTCTGTGTAAAATAAATATGGACCAATTCTCAGAGTAGAACCAAAAACAATCGTCGGAAACATGAATTTAGCAAGCAATCGTGACTACAAATATGATGTTATTATAAGGATTTACTGGGTATAAACAAGGTGCTGTTGCTCCTAAACGAACATGGGGACCCCTCAGTTTTATTTCAAAATTTAAGTTCCTATAATTTAAACAATCAATAGGCAAAGTTTCACAAAAATCTCAGTGCAGGTTCTTATTTCAGTGGAATGACCTTAAGATGACATTCCTGCTATACGGAGGAAAGAAAAACTTACAGAAAGTTCCACTTCAAACTCATACGTCTTTGTGTAGTCTACTAAGTTGTCTAAAAGCAACTGACCCTGTAAAAGAGCGCACAATTAACACCTCAAAATGCAGCCAAACATGTAGCTGGTTTAATTCTATTGATAAATTAAAAAAATGTGAATAACAAAATTAAGACAACTAGACTTAATTTAACTAAGCATGCTCTGTTATGTTCTTAGATTGTAAAGGAATACACTTATTCTCTTAGAGACTGAACTTTCCTTAAGGGACTGTGCAATAATTACCTGGAAGTGGGGGCTGGGAAATAGATGAAATATGCCCCAAACCTAAGTCATACCCCCCTTTCATTAAACAAAAATTAATTTCCACCCCCACCTCACATAATGATAATATTAAGGCTAAACCCCCC